CGGTTCTATGTTTGCATATTCGTCCATGAGGAATTTTACAATGCTTTAAAGCATTGGTGCTTTTGTTTTTTCCTTTTATGTTACAACTTGAAATTGTACTTTTAACGTTATGGTACAACTTCAGTGCACTCACTTCTTTTAGTGCATTCAGTGCACTCGCTTCATAACCGTCATTTTAAACATGTGATTCATGTCCAAATGATGTCAATCATCACTTATGATGTGATGAACAATAAAACACAAAATTTGCACAAAAACCATACAAGATTTGCTTTAATTTGAAGGATTTAGAGATTTAGGGTTAGGGTTTACAATTTGGGGTTTAGTGATAGAATTCAAAATTGGAGGTATAGGGCTTAGGGTAATCCATTAATTAGTTGTTATCATATGTTATATCATCATATTACACTAATCCTACAAATTAAAATTCAAAATCCAATACCTTAAGACTAGTTTTTGAGTTGGGTGCATTGAACGCACTCATTTTTGTGAGTGCACCGAAGTAGTCACTATATATATATATGTGAGGAGTTCTACGGTACCCAGGGTGAAATCTGGGGTAGCGCATACATTGAGTAAGAAAACGCTATCCAGAACTTGAATTGACTGATCTCTCGGACATATGATACTATACTCTAACCCTTAAAGATCAAAATCTAGGTCTTAATTCTCTAAATCTCATACCCCGAGATCAATTCAATTAGAAAAAATAATCGACGGTAATGATTCGTCCAAATATAGGCAAAAAAATCAATGCACCATCTTAGAGTTTATAGTTTATGATTTAGATAATTAGGACCTAGGGTTCACTCATTAAGGGTTAGGGTATAGTATCATACCCAAAAATTCTGCTAATCCGAGGTCTAGATAGCGTTTTCATACTCAATGTATGTGGTACCCCCAGATTTCAGCCGGGGTACCGTAGAAGGCACCATATATATTATACTAGCTTATAACCCGGCCCGTTGGTCGGAATATTCATACTTGATTATTTATATTTTTATGTTACATTTATATCTATCAACCCATATAATTTTATTAACAATCTTTCGATCGAGATGATACATAAAGAAAGAATATATAGCTCAAACATTTGGAGTAATTTCATCATCATTTAAGAATATAAAATATAAAAAAATGTATCATTGATCTCATTTTCATAATGATAATTAAGTCCCCGATAAAATGTTATTGGTTAGTTGATTGTCAAGAAAGATAGAGTAGAAAAGCTCATTGAAATTCCCACACGAACCATAGATAGTTTGAAACTAAATCTTAAACCTGGTATTCCTACATAAAGGTTCAATGCTCTCATTTTAGGAACAATATGCCACTAATAAAAAAGAAACGGAGAGTTGTTGATTCAAGTCGACTATATACTAACAATTCAGCTAAGAGGGGACCATAAAAACTTGAGAGCAAACGTCAAAATTAGGGTTACCTCCAACATAATAATAGACTCTATCAAAGTATAAGGAAAAAAATTAGACACTCCTCATCTGTTTGTCCTAGTAGGTTGAATAAAGAATCGACCGAACTACTTCAGTAAATTAATCAATAATTCCTCGTTTTAAGATAGAAATAAGTTGCCACCACTCTCTGTTGTACAATCAAATTTTTATCAACTTTAACTTCAATCTCCAGAGGCGTCTTTTTCAACCAAAAGTTCAATTTGTAATCCTCCTTTTGCAACTCCATTTATTGAACTCCATTCTATTCGCCATGGATTGATATCGGAGTTGAAATCTTCTACTTGCCCAGTTTAAATCTCTAACAATAATATCGTTGTGCCAAGAGATACCGGAAGATTGATTTTCAAAGGCGGATTTGTAAAGTGAAAGGGGAGCAAACTATTGCATGATGGAGAGAATTTCAGAGGAAGTTAGAAACAGTTAAGAACAAAGATAAAAGTACTAAATTTAAATATTAATTGAAAAATACAAGGACACAACACGTAGTAATAGATATAGTCTATTCCATAAAAATACATGAAACTCTACTATGAAAATTGCAGTATCAAGCACCATAAAAATATATATAGTAGATTTAGTGGGGTTGCTAATCATGATGGAATAGTCCACCAATTTTCAGAGAGTCACTTCGTGTATGTTTTGTATTAAAAAGGACACAACAAATTTGTTTAGTGTAATTGGTTGTGATTGTTGTCTTGTTTGAAGAGACATGGGTTCAAATGCTGATATTGAGATTTTTTATATGAAATAAATAATTAATTGTAAAGACAAAAATATCCTTCCTACTTTCACTCTCGTTGCATGAAATTTGAAATGGAGAAAAGTAGACAAAACTCTATTATATATTATTGTGAGAGGAGTTAGAGTGCTAACTCTATAGAGGATTAGCACCATACTAACTACTCTAATCATTATTTATTATATCTTACGGTGGAGACTAAGCAGGGGCATATTCGGTATTGTGTAAATTAAATTTATTAAGTTAATGAAAATTTAAAATATCTAACTTTTTCAGTAGAAATTTTCAACGGAAAAATACTACTACTTAAATTAGTAGTGGTTTGTGGATTATAGTAGTAATTTTATATTTTGTTGTAGTGGTTTAATTGCTTTGCGTAGCGATTTTGGAATTTCCCATCAATAATATCCATACAAATCACAAAAATATATCTAAGTCGAGCACTTCTTCTATGCTATATAGCATGGTGCTTTAATGTACAACTCAAAGTTGTACCATAACATTAAATGTATAAGTTTAGGTTGTACCATAAAGCAATTTGTATCATTATGTGATGGTACACCATCACATAATGATACAAATTGCTTTATGGTACAACCTAAAAGAATTTGTACAAAAAGTATAGGTACAATTTGAAATTGTACCATAACGTACATGTACAATTTTAAGTTGTACCATAAAAGCAAAAACCTATAGCACCAATACTATATAGCATTGTAAAATTTCTCATCTAAGTCTTACAAACAAAAAACACTATTGATCACTATTAGAAAATACATACTACATAATCACTACTAATACGAATAATAAGTCAAACACGTGACATTTAAATATGACTCACATCAGTACTACAAAATCGCTCCTACTGAGAAGAAACCAGGGGCGGAGCTATGTAGGCTCTCGGGGGGGCCCCGGCCCCCCCGAGAATTTTGAAACTTACGTATAAAGTCCTAGGAAATTCCGAGAATTACGTATAAACTCAATCTAACAAGTATATAAAATTCGAGTGAAATCTTATTAACAACCCAGATTTGTAGTGTAGCGGAGAAGTCATCCAGTTTTAGTTAGAAGGTTCAGGGTTCGATTCTGATAGACAGCATTGCTTTTTATAATTTTAACAGTTTTTTTCCAGTCTAATCCTCTAATTTTTCTATTTTGTCTTATAAATCCTGTAATTTCAAATAAATTCAGTCAAGTTCTTAAACTTCTACATTCATATTTACAAAGATTGTTTTTGGATATGTAATTAATTAAATTTTAAAAACAATAATATAATCATAAATTCATATTCAAGGTATAAAACAATTACATGTTAAAATGCATGATAATTTTTGCTCACAGTATAAACATTTATTTTGAGTATAACATACTAGCAAACTTTAAATTATTTATATTTTGAGTTTTTTCTATTTTAATTAATATGTGTCGTTATTATTTATTTTTATCTTTGGATTTTCACAATAATTTACTAAATAAATCCGGCCCCCCGAACTTTCAATCCTGGCTCCGCCCCTCGAAGAAACACACTACTAACAGAAGAAAACACTACTCATTTTCCTTTCCTAATACTCAGATCTACTACAAAATCGCTAAGAAGAAAACACTGTTATATTTTTACTCAGCCAACCAGCTTCGTTTCTTGTCGTTGCTGCCAACCCAGCGACTCAAGACGATTGGATCCGGCTGTATAGACTGCGGGGGGAGAGGCCACCTCTGCGATCTATATCTTCCCCGACGAGAGGTGTCCATACAACCTCGTTTTTTCCGGTTTCTCCTTTTCTCGAGCGAGCGACTCTGCGAACGTCATCTTCTTCGTTTCTCCTCCACCGTCGATTGTAATCGCCTCAACGAAACGAGCGACGTCTTCATCGTTTCTCTTCCGTCATCGACTGTGAGCGTCGTCTTCTTCGTTTCACCTCCGTCGTTGATTTGTCCTCTTCCCTAACGAGCGTTGTCGTCTTCATTTCTCCTTGGCCGGAATCGTGTTGAAGAGAAAGGAGGCGAGACTTGGCCGGAATAGTGCGAGAGATGAAAGAGGGGATATTGAAAAATAAAGTTTAATAAAAAAAAATTGTAACATCACAACTAGTTAGAGTTGTGAAGTGTGTGGAGTTATCTAGAGTGTGTATTAATGTGGGTAGTTATGGATTAAGAAAAGAAGGAAAAAAAAGAAGAACCACAAATGTGTAGATATTTGTGGGGTTAAGTAGGTGTAAAGTGGTAGTTAGGTGTGGCAAAGTATAAGCCACAATTTAGTGTTGGAACTTGGCTATAAATAGCCATGGTTTGTGTATGGTTTTATCCATCCCAAGCAAAGCAAAGCAAATAAGAAAGAAAGTAGAGAGTGTTTGAGCAATTGTGAGTTGTGGGAAGGTGAAGAAATAAGAGACTCAATGAGCATTTCGATCCATTTTTTCCAACATTTGGTATCAGAGCCAATGTTATTCCTCGTATGCTCTGTGGTTGCGGTTTAGGCCGATCTTCCACATTAGAAAAGGTTTCCTTGTGGTTTGTTATCAGTATCAAGGTTATTCCTCGTATGCTCTGTGGTTGCGGCTTCGACCGATCTTCCACATTAGAAAAGGGATTCCTTGTGCTGAGTTATCAGAACTGGTTCAACCGAGAGCCAGTAGTAACGAGATCCTCATCAGACGGTCAGAGGCTGTAGTTATTTCAGGAAGACTGAAATAGAGAACTTGGAGAAGTTACCAAGTAAGAAGATGGAGGGTTTCTCAGTTACTGCTATGGAGAAGTTGAATGAGACCAACTACTCAAGTTAGAGCACCCGTATGGAGTTTTATCTCAGAGGCCAAAAGCTCTGGGAAATTATCACCATCCCACCACCCAAAGATGAGAAGCTGTTGGAGGACTGGAAGCAAAAAGCAGACAAGATCATGTACATCCTTGCAGTCACAACAGAAGACCAATTCCTGCCTCGCTTCAAGGAAAGCAAATCCCCGAAGGAAGATTGGGATACTCTCTCCACAATCTTCGCCAGGACCAATGAGGCGAGACTCCAGAGACTGGAGAATGAATTGATGGCATTATCCCAAGAAACATTGACCATTGGTCAATTTTTCAACAAAGTAAAAAATGTTTGTGCCGAAATTTCGAAACTGGATTCGGAAAATCCAATTTCGGAAGCTCGGACAAGAAGAATCATCATTCGTGGCTTGAGACCGGAGTTCAAGGGCATAGTGACAGCAACAAGAGGGTGGTCAAAGGAGCCAACCCTGGCTGAGTTGGAGAATCTTCTAGCAAATGAAGAAATTCTCGATGACAAGATGTCAAAGGCGTCAATCAAGGAAGAGGAAAAGGCCTTGTTCAGCAAAAGTAAAGACTCTAATGGTGGAGAGAAGGCTTTTGCATCAACAAGTGGCCAAAAGGGGTTCAAGAAGAACCAAAAGTGGAACAAGAAAGGGGGCAACTATCGAGGGGGAGCCCAGAAAAATTACAACCACTGTTACAAGGGTGGTGACGGAAAGGACAGGAAGGAGCATGATCGAGAAAATGGCAATTGCTACATTTGCCACAAGAAGGGTCATCTAGCCAGAGATTGCTGGCAAAAAGGAAGAAGGAAACGCTGCAACTTCTTCCAAGGTGAATGATGATGAATGGGACTTTCAAGCATCCTTTGCAACGGAAGCTCCAAAAGGCGCCACTAAAGAGTCAGCGCTCATGTCAGTGGACAAGAATGTCATTGATTATGAAAATGACTGGATTGTGGATTAGGGATGTTCAAATCACATGACTGGTGATGAATAGAAGCTTTTAAACGTGTCCGAGTACAAAGGTGGACGAGTGGTTGTCACCGCCAACAACTCTAAGCTGCCAATCACCCACATCGGCGAGACACTTATTACTCCTCGGTTTGGCGATCAACAAGTGGAGCTGTCAAACGTTTACCACGTCCCTGGAATGCGAAAGAATCTGATGTCAGTATCACAACTGACAGCATCTGGTAATTATGTGGTATTCGGTCCTAGAGATGTGAAGGTGTATCGAAGCTTATAGCCAACTTCTGATCCAATCATGCAAGGGCAGAAGCTGGAGTCTGTCTATGTAATGTCAGCAGAAGCGGCTTATGTCGACAAAACAAGAAGAAATGAGACGACAAGCTTATGGCATGCTCGTCTTGGACACGTTGGTTATCAGAAGCTCAAGGTGATGATGAAAAAGTCCATGCTCAAAGGACTTCCTCAACTTGATATCCGTGACGATATCGTATATGTCAGATGCCAGTATGGGAAAGCTCATCAGCTACCCTATGAAGACTCAAAGTTCAAGTCTAAAATGCCTCTAGAGCTTGTCCATTCAGACGTGTTTGGACTAGTGAAGCAGGCCTCTGTGTCTGGAATGAAGTACATGATTACATTCATTGATGATTTCTCAAGATATGTCTGGGTTGACTTCATGAAAGAGAAATCTGAGGCATTTGATAAGTTCAAAATGTTCAAAGAACTTGTCGAAGTCTGTCAGAAGATCAGATGTCTTCGTACAGACAATGGATGAGAGTACACTTCAATCGTATTCACACAATTTCTCAAGCAACACCGAATTCAATGCCAGTTGGCCTGCCCAGGTACTCCGCAACAAAATGGAGTAGCAGAAAGGAAGAACCGTCACTTGGCAGAAATTTGCAGAAGCATGCTACATGCAAAGAATGTTCCTCCCAGTTTTGGGCAGAATGCATGAAGACTGTTGATCATGTTGTCAACAGACTACCTCGGCCAAAGTTGGGGTTTGTATCACCCTATAAGAAATTGTGGAAGTTGAAGCCCAATGTCAGCCATTTTCGAGTATTTGGTTGTGTGTGCTATGTGTTCGTACCAGACCATGCTCAAAGCAAGTTTGACAAAAAGGCGGTCTGATGCATTTTTGTGGGCTATGACAATCAAAGGAAAGGATGAAGATGTTGCGACCCAAATACAGGAAACTCTTATGTGTCACGCAATGTAGTGTTTGATTAAGCATCATCCTGGTGGTTCCCAGAAGCAGTCCTACTTCCAGACTCAAAGGAGATGGAGGAGAGGTTGCTAGAGAGGTCTACTGAAGAAGAGGTGAAAACAACAGAAGCTGAACATGGAGAAAGTTCCACGGGAGCTCAAACTCGCTCTCCTGAAAAAGGCAAGAGTCCTTGGAAGACTGGAGTTCACCAGCCAGTCACAGAAGAAGAACGACCTAGTCAACTGGATCATATTGTTGATCCTCAATAAGAGCTCAGAAGATCGAAGAGGGCTAGAAAGCCAAATCCCAAATTTGCCAATGTAGCCATGATAGAAGATATTGGCGTAAGAGAACCAACATCTTACGAAGAAGCGGCAAAACATGGTGAATGGAGAAACGATATGAAAGAAGAGATTCAAGCTCTCGAGCAAAATCAAACATGGGAACTCATACCAAATCCTAAAGATGTTAAGCCCATATACTGCAAATGAGTTTACAAAGTGAAGACAAAGTCAGATGGATCAATTGAGCGTTTCAAGGCTCGATTGGTGGCTCGTGGATTTTCTCAACAATATGGGCTGGATTATGACGAGACGTTTAGTCCAGTTGCTAAGATCACAACTGTCCGTGTTCTCTTAGCACTTGCAGCCAGTAAGTCTTGGAGAATGTGGCGGCTAGATGTGAAGAATGATTTCTTAAATGGAGAGCTTGATCGAGAGATCTACATGGAGCAACCTAGAGGGTTTGAGAGCATAAACACAAACTATGTCTGTAAGCTCAAGAAAGCCCTATATGGTCTGAAGCAGGCACCTCGAGCTTGGTACGGTAACATTGGAGAATTTCTACTCCAATGCGGATACTCTGTCACTCCGTCAGATTCAAGTTTGTTTGTCAAGGAGCAATATGGAAAATTAGCAATTGTGCTAGTTTATGTTGATGACTTGATCGTGACTGGAGATGATGAAGAAGAAATCAACCGAACTCGAATGAATCTATCCATAAGGTTCCAAATCAAGGAACTTGGAGAGCTGAAGCAATTTCTTGGATTTGAAGTCGAAAAAAGAGAAGATGGCTTATTTCTTAGTCGGCGGAGATATGCTATAGTGTTGCTAGAGAAGTTCGGGCTACAAGAGTGTAAGCCTACGACAACACCTATGGAGGCTAACGTTAAACTCAACTCACAAGAGGGAAAAGATTTAGAAGACGTGACGATGTATAGACAACTTGTGGGTAGTTTAATCTACCTAACTCTGACACGTCCCGACATTTCTTATGCAGTTGGAGTCGTTAGCTGTTTCATGCAGAATCCCAAGAAGGTTCATCTTGAGATCATCAAAAGAGTTTTGAGATATGTCAAGGGAACCATTGATCATGGGATAATTTACAAGAAGGGAGTAGAGTGCAAACTTAAAGGTTATTGTGATGATGATTATGCTGGAGACCTAGACACTCGTCGCTCGACAACAAGATATCTGTTCACACTCGGTTCAGGAGCAGTGTCGTAGTGTAGTAAAAGACAGCCGACCATTTCGTTGTCAAGTACAGAGGCCGAATATAGAGCGGCAGCAATGGCATCACAAGAGTGCACCTGGCTAGTGCAACTTTTGAAGGACCTGCATCAAGAAGTTGATTACTCGGTTCCATTATATTGTGACAACTTATCTGCTATCAAGTTAGCAGAGAATCTTGTGTTTCATGCTAGAACAAAGCATGTTGAAGTTCATTATCATTTTCCCCGAGAGAAAGTGTTGAAGGAAGAGATAGAGATGAAAGCAATGAAGACTGGAGATCAGATTGCAGATATTTTCACTAAAGCACTTCCGAGAGTCAAGTTTGAAGAGTTCAAAAGAGAACTTGGAATGATCAAGAAGAAGAATGTTGGTGACGCTGAGCTACGTGGTGAAGACACTACTCAAGCATGATACGAACACTATTTAGAGTACTGGTAAATTAAATTTTAAGGGGGAGTATTGAAATAATAAATTTTCATAAAAAAAATGTAACATCACAACTAGTTAGAGTTGTGAAGTGTGTGGAGTTATCTAGAGTGTGTATTAATGTGGGTAGTTATGGATTAAGAAAAGAAGAAAAAAAAGAAGAACCACAAATGTGTAGATATTTGTGGGGTTAGGTAGGTGTAAAGTGGTAGTTAGGTGTGGCAAAGTATAAGCCACAATTTAGTGTTGGAACTTGGCTATAAATAGCCATGGTTTGTGTATGGTTTTATCCATCCCAAGCAAAGCAAAGCAAATAAGAAAGAAAGTAGAGAGTGTTTGAGCAATTGTGAGTTGTGGGAAGTTGAAGAAATAAGAGAGTCAGTGAGCATTTCGATCTATTTTTTCCAACAGGGGAGACGTGGGAGAGTGGAAGAGAGATGTAGAATATAGGCGGCATAAGGTTTGACAAAAAAAAAATTGAATTTATATTAGGGTTTGAGGTGATAATTACTAAACTATCCTCCAATTAATTATGACCCTAGGATTATTATTTCAATCCAGTTGCTATTAGGTTAGTTAGTATGGTGCTAACTCCTTAAGGGGTTAGCATCTAAACCCATCCCTATTATTGGAGGAGCATATTATATTATATATGACATCTCAACCAAAAAAGTTGTCGTTTAAACAAAAAATAAATGTATAAATAATAAAAACTCAAAGAAAATGAGATCTGTCAAGATATGGAGACCTCGTCATCTGAAAAGGTAAAGAAATACAAAGATCTACCTATGCTTCCTCCACTTCCAGACTCTCTCTCCATTCTTGTTCACGCACTCAATGTTCCAATCTCCTTCTCTCAACGTAAAGAAACAAACAAAGGTGCGGGGAGTAGTCGTCACGACGCGGGGAGCTGGGTCGAGGTGTGGGGAGCTGGGTTAGAAGCGATGGCCGAGGAACGGCGTCGCTGTGCGGGAGAGGCGCCGATCGACGTCAGCGGAAGGAGGAGGAGATTTGGGACGACGGACGAGAGATGGAGGAGAGTGAGCAGTTGCTTTGCTACATCGCTCGACTCGACGAAAGGGAAGGGGGGAATTAGATTTATTCCCAACCTCCAGAAATCTTGACGTTTCATCACTAGCCAGTAGTCGGATAAGTCCGGTCAGACCCCGATTTTGACCCACTTTGACCGGTTGTCGGCTAGCTAGGAATATGGTTGGCGCTGGCCTTTTTTCAGTTTTTGTGCTAGGTTTCGGTTCAACCCTGCCAGACCGACTGGTTGGAATTGGGTTTGACAACCTTATGTTTAACCCAAACACAAGAAGTGAATTTCATTGTGAGTTCCTTCGATCTAATACAGTTTTCGGACAAGTTAGACTCATGAACAAAACAAGAACCGATAGTAAAATGTGCATAATTGGAAATTTGCAGAATTGAAAGGACAATCAATTTCTACGTGGTTTACCGTGTTGAGAGAAAGATGATTTCAACACTGACTAGTTCATGAATGGTGATAGGGGTGTTCAAACGGTGTGGTTGCTGTATTAACCGTTTTAACCGATAGTATTTGGCTAATTTGGTTTGGTTAATTTGGATAATTGGTTTGGTTTGGTTAAAATTCTTAACTTGTTTGGTTTGGTTTCAGACACTTCTAACCAATCAAATCAAATTAATCAGTTAAGTAATTATCCAAATATCTAATATATATTATATACACATACTTAACTCCTGTCATAACCACTCAAGAGCCAAACATTCCTTCCCTTAGGCTCATCAACAGTAAATCTCAATATTGTTCCTATACTGTATATGTTGGATCGTCGAGCGCGAGACGGTCGGACTTCTCTCCGATGATCACTCCTGTGAATGAACCCTAATTTTGCAGTCTAAGACCAAGTGAGGAAATCGAGTAATGAAATAATTAATTTGGACAAATGAAAAATGATTCTTGGTTTAGGTGTATAAAACGTTAGTCGATAGGTAAAACGACCCTGTGCAGGCTTTGAGCCCTGAATGATGCAACTACTAACTGAACGAAATGGGCCTGCTGTATGAGCCCACTTCACTGTGTCTTCTTCTTCCTAAAGAAGCCGAGACTTCTTCCCTGAGCTCTGTTCCTGCAAAACAGAGTAAGACAACAATAACAATGGCAACATCAAAATCAAACTCACTCACACCCACAAACCATATTTTTACGTGGTATCCGATATTGGGAGAATGAGGATCCCAATATCGACTAATCCACGGTAGAAGACTCTCTTCTTGAGATCTTCTACGTAAGCACTATCTCAGTGTTTTGTATTTTACAGAACTTGGTGAACTCCTAATCTGCTCCCTGCAAATCTACCAAGCTATGCTCTAGTGTTTAACCCTCTTGTTCAAACACCTCGATTTTTCCCAGCCAATCTTCCCAATTGGCTTTACTGATTACACCTCACAAAAGACTCTAGCTTCACCAGCTCTCTCTTCTGTTCTCACGAATCCAAGGGAAAAATTCTACATCACTAACTCTAATCAACCCCCAATATATATCACTCTCCCATTCGAGCCGTTGAAGATGATTTTCTTCTTACCAAATTTGCGCTCCACTTCTTTTGGCAAGTCTGCTGTTCTTTCCAATTCCACATTCCTTTGAATTCGTCTGATTTATGCCAACAATTTCTTTCCTTTCATGCTGCTAGTCCTCACTGAATGCCAACATACTGACATCGATCTGCTTCTCTTAACATTCTCCCCCTAAGCATGTAATTCGCTCCTGCTTCTGCTGCTTTCACATAATCTGCACATCTTAACAAACGATTGGTGCAGCCTGTTCCAAAACATTATAACTGATGCTGTGCTATAAGATTAAGAAAAGAGGCTAATTTTATTGATCTTTTAAATGAAAACACACCAGACACATGACTCAGACAGGGATTAGCTATCAACCCCCTTATTGGACTCAAAGACACAGAACCACGACAGAAGGAACACAACCAACAAAAACTAACTCGAACAATGGACTCCCCCTAAACTGATTGCCCATCTAAAACTCATACTCAGGAGGGGACTCATAATCAGACACACCATCTTCCTCCTGCGAGCTACTCGGTCCAGCTACCTTAGCTAGTTCAATTTGTGCCTTGCAATGTTCTAGGCTCAAGAGCTCCTCGCTTTTGAAAGATTTAATTTTCTGATCCAATGCCACTGATGCAGCATCTAGTTGTGCATAAACCAGCTGATTTGCAAAAACAGCAGTATGCTCTCCCCCTGAGCGAATGACAGGCTTCCTCCTGCCAACAGAAGCATTGACACGAACAAGGACATGCTGTGCATGCAAATCCTCCCGAATATCACAAACAATGATCTTGTCAGAAAGATCAATGCCAAGATTGTAGAGGAAGCGAGTAATCTGAGGACCAAAGGGAAGTGGACCAGAGTAGTTCTCATCTCCATACTTAATCATGTGAGCAAACATAAGTGATGAGAAATCGAGGGGAATTCGTTCACGTGCATTGGCCATGATCCAGACATCCGAAGGATGAGCTAACTCAGAACTCGACACGCTGCGAGGGAGCAGAACGCGGGTAATGAAAAAGTGCATTACTTTAAATAGATCTGCGAGTCGGCTTGCTGAAAGCATATTAGAGAAACGACGACCAATGTTGAGGGTAAGAGATTTCAATGCAGACCCATAGTCAAATCGAATCTCAGCAAAGTCATCATTGGTGGCAGCAGAGGATCCTTGACAGGGAAACCCTAGAATTTCAGCCAGCAATGAGGGTGTGACCAGTATCTCATGATGATACACCACCGTGGTAAATGAGGAAGGACTTGGGCCAGGACCTCTCTTCAGACTGGCATAAAACAACCTCACTGCCTCGGGACATTTACTAAACCGCCGATTCTCAAAAAGAGAATCCCATCCAAGATTGTGAATAAGCCCAGAGATATTTAGGCCATATTTTTGGAAGGAAGAAGGATGAATAGTGAACGAAGGATAAAGGGGGCGATGGCGAAAGTGGTTGAGATAGCGCTCATAGCGCGCTGGATTGTGAAAACCCTTGTTAAAGGTGACTGCAGGATGCAGTTGAAAGTTAATAGGAGCCATTTTGGAAGACAAGGGATCTGTGAAATCGTAGAGAAGGTAAGGATGAAGAGAAGGACTGGAGAAAACTGCCTATATAAGGTCATCATCGAGAGGTAATAGAGGAAAGAGCAAGATTTTAATGAGAGAAGAATCAATTTAACGATTGATTTATCAATCAGTGCTGATTCTAAGGGATTAGAGAAATCTCTTCCAGTGAGAATAGGCCAAGTTCTCTACGAATAGTTAGGAACTTTTCAGCCCCTAAAGGCTTAGTAAAGATATCATCCCATTGAAGATCAGTGTTAATAAATTGAAGATGAATCTGACCATCTTGAACTAGATCCCTGATGAAATGATAACGAACTTCTATATGTTTAGTTCTAGAGTGCTGAATTGGATTTTTGGTCATATTAACAGCACTTGTGTTATCACACATGACTGGTAGAGAGCCAAGCTGAATGCCATAATCACTAAGCTGATATTTCGTCCAGAGAAGTTGTGTGCAACAGAACCCTGCTGCTACATACTCTGCTTCTGCAGTAGAGAGAGCCACAGTGTTCTGTTTCTTGCTAAACTAGGAAACGAGAGAGGAACCTAGAAAGTGACAAGCTCCTGAGGTGCTTTTTCTATCTACTGAACAACCAGCATAGTCAGAGTCACTGTAGCTAATTAGTTCCAGGCTAGAATCACTAGAATACCAGAGTCCTAAGCTAGGAGTTCCAACAAGATATCTAAAGATTCTTTTGATGGCAGAGTAATGACTTTCTTTAGGACAGCTTTGGAACCGAGCACTCACACAGACACTATACATGATATCTGGCCTGCTAGCAGTCATATATAGTAGAGACCCTATCATTCCCCTAAATAGACGACTGTCTACAGGTTTTCCAGATTCATCCTTAGTGAGTTTGGTTGAGGAACCCATAGGAGTGGATGCAGCTTTTAAATTTGTAAAACTAAAATGTTTTAGCATGTTATTCAAATATTTTGTCTGACTGATAAAGATGCCCTTGCCTGTTTGTTTAATTTGCAGACCTAGGAAGAAATTTAATTCACCCATGAGGCTCATTTCAAAGGCACCTTTCATAGAGATTTCAAAGTTTTTGCACATTTCCTGATTTGAGGATCCAAAGATTATATCATCTACATACACCTGTACTAACAAAATGTGTTCTCCCTGATTTTTTATGAACAGAGTTTTGTCTACTTGACCCCTACAAAATCCATCTTTGATTAAGAACTGACTTAGCTTATCATACCAAGCTCGTGGAGCTTGTTTCAGACCATACAAGGCTTTATTCAATTTATAAACATAGTCAGGATGTTCAGGGTCTTCAAAGCCAGGGGGTTGTTCAACATACACTTCTTCTTTTAAATCCCCATTAAGAAAAGCACTTTTTACATCCAATTGGTACAATTTAAAACCTTTTGAGGCAGCATAGGCACACAGTAATCTGATTGCTTCCAATCTAGCTACAGGTGCAAAAGTTTCATCAAAGTCTATGCCTTCTTCTTGATTATAACCCTGTGCTACCAATCTGGATTTATTTCTTATAATCATTCCAAGTTCATCAGATTTGTTTCTATAGACCCATTTGGTTCCTATGATGGTTCGATTTTTAGGTCTAGGAACCAAGTCCCAGACTCTGGTTCGTTCAAACTGATGCATTTCTTCATGCATTGCCGCATTCCAAAACTCATCCTCTAGAGCTTCATCAATGTTCTTGGGTTCTATTAATGATATGAAAGCAGTATGTTCAGGATAGGTTTTAGACCGAGTGACCATACCTTGGTTTAAGTCTCCAATCACTAGAGATGGTGGATGCCGTTTTTGGATATGCAGAGGAGCTTCTCTCTGGTACATGTTTTCAGGACTTGCACTTTGATCTGCCTCTGTACTTGTTGTTGCTTCAGCAGCTTCTTTGGTTTGACTTATATTGAGTCCAAAGTCCTCATCATCTTCTAGACTTTCTGCACACTTACTGGTAGACTCATCAAATACCACATGAATGGACTCCTCAACTTTGAGGGTCCTTTTATTATAGACACAATAGGCTTTGCTATTTACATAGTACCCCAGAAAAATAGCTTCATCTGATTTAGAATCAAACTTCCCTAACTGATCTTTGGTGTTTAGAATAAAGCATTTGCATCCAAATGGATGAAAATACCCTAGATTAGGTTTTCTGTTCTTCCAAAGTTCATAGGGTGTTTTATTCAATTTTGATCTAATTAGAGCTCTGTTTGTTATATAACAGGCAGTGTTAATAGCCTCACCCCAGAAATGCTTTGGCACCCCATAATCATTTAGCATTGTTCTGCTTATTTCAATGAGTGTCCTGTTTTTCCTCTCAACAACACCATTCTGCTGAGGTGTCCTAGGTGCAGAAAAGTTGTGTGTAATCCCCTTTTCATTACAAAATTGTTCAAAGTTTTCTGACACAAATTCACCACCATGGTCACTTCTGATACTTGCAATTTTGGTTTGTTTCTCATTTTCAACTCGAGCAGAGTAGTTTTTAAATTCATAAAAAGCTTCATCTTTGCTGGTGAGAAAGAGTACCCAAGTATACCTTGACTAATCATCCACAATCACAAATGCATAATACTTTCCCCCTAGGCTTTTTATGTTGCTAGGTCCAAATAAGTCGAGATGAAGCAACTCCAAAGGTCTGTTAGTAGAGATGACTGTTTTTTATTTGAATGAGGTCCGAGAGTGTTTTCCTTTAGCACAAGCATCACAAAAGAACTCTTTCTTGCTATTAATTTTGGGAATGCCTCTAACTAACTCAAGATTTACTAGCTTAGACAAGGTACCTACACTGACATGACCTAGCCTACGATGCCATTCTACCTGATCATTTTTATCAACCGAGATAAAACAGGTTTCATTGAATGCAGCTTTGTCATTCAGATCAATTGTGAAAAGCTTACCCTTTCGTTTTCCAGTGAAAAGAATTTTACCACTAGAAATTTCTTCAACAAAACATTTTTCTGGCTCAAATATTACTCTGTTTTTGCTACCACACATTTGACTTATTGAGAGCAAGTTATGTTTAAGATCTTTAACAAGCATGACATTGTTTATTGATGGCATCAACCCTACTTGCCCTTTTCCTAGAAAATCTGTGCTGAAATTATCACCAAAGAACACTTTACCTTTCTTTCCTAGGACCAGATTTGTAAAAACCCTTCTATCCCCTGTCATGTGGTGTGAGCATCCACTATCCAGAATCCAAACGCTGTCTGCAAAAATAGCTTTGTTTATTTGTTTTTAGGTATCCAAACTAATTTGGTTACCCTTCCTAATTGAAAGTCTTTTGAATAGTTTTGACTCAAGTGTCCTACTTCATGACAGTTAAAACAGTTCAAAGTTTTTACTTGATTTTCTTTAGCTAAACGTTTTCTACATTCAGCAATATGATATCCAATTTTATGACAATAGTGACACTCTGAATTCCTAAGCCTTTGAGGATGTCTATAATTTTTACTCAGATTTCTGCTCGAGCACTTTTTCATTTTACATTCAGTTTTTAGCCTTCCAATTTCAGCATCTGCTGATTCTAGCTTACTTCTTAGCTCATTATTTTCAGTCACGACATTCACAAGTTTATTCTCTACATCAATCTTTTCTGCTTTCAAGGTTGAGTTTTCTTTTAGCAATTCTTCATACTTTGACTTAATTAGAACATGCTTTTGTTTGACCCTTAGAAACTCGTTTTGAATGTCTAATATTGTCTCATCTAATAGTTCATCCTCACTACAACAATTAGAGTAGTAGAGATTTACCTGTGTTTCGCTCTCCTCAACGTTGCTTTCTTCGACAGCCAAGTATGCTTCTTGTTTGGTATCTTCCTCATCTTCACTGCAGCTCCATGTAGCTGCGAAGGCCTTCTCTTTCTTCAGCAAGGGACAATCTGCTCTGATGTGTCCAGTTTTGCCGCACTTGAAGCATCCTGTTTGTGACTGATTTTTCTCAGAGCTTGTTCCTTCTCTCTTGTTCTTCAAACCGAACCTACTTGGTCTGCTGAATTCCCTCTCATTTTCCCCATCCCTTGTTCTACTTGGAAAGCTTCCTCTTCTCTTTTCTTTTCTCGTCCTCAGCAGTTTGGCTACATGCTTGCTAAGCATTGCCAATTCATCATCCTCCATTTCTTCGAGACAGTCTAAATCTTCTTCATGTGTTACTGCCTTGAAGGCTATCCCTTTCTTTTCTTTTCGAGGTTCCTCTACCTCTTCTCTCTTCAATTTTTCTTCATGTGTTACAAGGGATCCAATTAGTTCATCTAAGCTTAACCTAGTAAGATCCTTGGACTCTTCGATGGCAGTTACTTTAGGATTCCAGCGCTTGGGTAGAGCCCAGAGAACCTTTCTCACTAAATCAGCACTTGCATACTCTACCTCCAGATTCCTCAGACTGTTTACAATTGTAGTGAATCGCTCAACCATTTCTCTGATTGACTCTTCTGGCTTCATGATAAACGACTCAAATTCCTGCTTCAGACTGTTAATTCGAGAGATCTTCACGTGCGATGTGCCTTCGTGAGCTATCTGAAGTTTATCCGAGATCTCCTTGGCTGTTTTACATCCAGACATTCTGTGGTACTCCTCGGGACCCAGAGCGCAGTACATCAGGTTGGTAGCTTTTGAATTCATCTGAAAATTCTTCTTGTTAGCCTCAGTCCATTTCCCACGAGATTCCTTCACTTCAAGAGGACCGTCCATTACTATGTTCCACAGATCAGGATCTGTCGATCCTATGAATAACTCCATGCGATTATGCCAGTACCCGTAATGAACCCCTTCAAACCTTGGTGGTCTTGTTTGGGAGAAACCATCCGGCATGAAAATTCCAGTAGCTGACCCCGAGCTCATCTTCTCTGCAGAGAATTAAGCCTCTGATGCAGGAGCCGGGCTCTGATACCACATGTTGGATCGTCGAGCGCGAGACGGACGAACTTCTCTCCGATGATCACTCCTGTGAATGAACCCTAATTTTGAATTCTAAGACCAAGTGAGGAAATCGATTGATGAAATAATTAATTTGGACAAATGAAAAATGATTCTTGGTTCAGGTGTATAAAACGTTAGTCGATAGGTAAAACGACCCTGTGCAGGCTTTGAGCCTTGAATGATGCAACTACTAACTGAACGAAATGGGCCTGCTGTATGAGCCCACTTCATTGTGTCTTCTTCTTCCTAAAGAAGCCGAGACTTCTTCCCTGAGCTCTGTTCCTACAAAACAGAGTAAGACAACAATAACAATGCCAATAGCAAAATCAAACTCACTCACACCCACAAACCATATTTTTACGTGGTATCCGATATTGGGAGAATGAGGATCCCAATATCGACTAATCCACGATAGAAGACTCTCTTCTTGAGATCTTCTACGTAAGCACTATCTCAGTGTTTTGTATTTTACAGAACTTGGTGAATTCTAATCTGCTCCCTGCAAATCTACCAAGCTATGCTCTCAGTGTTTAACCCTCCTGTTCAAAACCTCGATTTTTCCCAGCCAATCTTCCCAATTGGCTTTACTGATTACACCTCACAAAAGACTCTAGCTTCACCAGCTCTCTCTTCTGTTCTCACGAATCCAAGGGGAAAATTCTACATCACTAACTCTAATCAACCCCCAATATATATCACTCTCCCATTCGAGCCATTGAAGATGATTTTCTTCTTACCAAATTTGCGCTCCACTTCTTTTGGCAAGTCTGCTGTTCTTTCCAATTCCAAATTCCTTTGAATTTGTCTGATTTATGCCAACAATTTCTTTCCTTTCATGCTGCTAGTCCTCACTGAATGCCAACATACTGACATCGATCTGCTTCTCTTAACAGTATATTTGTATTTGTAGAGTGTACCCCATGATATATGAACGCCAAATTTAGATAAAAACTCATATAATATATTAGATGAAAACTTGAAAGGAAAGTCTTTTTTAACCAATGATAATTGCTAAAAGACTAATTCAGTTTACACAATCACAACAATTAGATAACTCAATACTATTCACATATAATTTTTTTAGGTGAATACTTTTATTGACTGTTAGAGGTGTTCAAATAGTGTGGTTACCGTGTTAACCATTTTAATCGGTAGTATTTGGATAATTTTGTTTGCTTAATTTGGATAATGGTTTGGTTTGGTTAAACTTTTTAGTTTTTTGGTTTGGTTTTAGACCAGTGTTATTAAGACCGAGCCGGCCGGTCGGACCGGTAAAACCAGCACCCGGTCATTAGCTCGGTTCGGAACCCTTCAAAAGCCGCAGCGATGTGTTGATTTCCGACCTTCTTCAACTTCTACTCCGGGCTCTAACCAGCAAGCCGGCGACGAAACCGCCGGCGAGCTCCCTCTCTCAGTCGTCGTCCTTTTTTGCTTTTCGTTGTCTCTGGAAAGAAAGAGAAGAGGAGAGGTTAGCGAGTAAGAGGGAGAGAAGCAGATCGGGAGTTGGAGAGACGAATTAGAGAGAGGGATGGAGGAGATCAATGGTTTATGGTGAAATAGAGAGGAAGAAATAGAAGCAGAGCATCAGTGGTGCTTCAGAATTTTGAGGGAGGAAGATATGTTTTGTTGAAAGAGGGAAGAAGTTGGAAATTGGAAGAGAGAGGAGTTGAGCGGCGCCTGTTAGGTGGGATGGGTAGGATTTTGGATTGTTATATAAATATAATGTAAAATTACTAAGTGGTACTTGTAAAGTAAATTTCATTTTTGTCATTGGATTCTTAATTCACTACTTTATGTGTCTTCTAATAATAATATTGTTGTTTATAAGGTATCGGTTCTCTAACGGCTTTTTAGCGGCTTAATATCGGCTGGACCGCTAAAGTACGAGCCGTTTACAATACCGGGTCATGCTCCGATTCGGTTTTGACAACATTGTTTTAGACACTCCTAACCGATTAAACCAAATTAACCAGTTAAGTAATTATTCATATATCTCATAAATATTATATACACATACTTAAAACAATGAATAAGTCATAACCACTCAAGTGTCAAATGTTTCTCCCTCTTAGACTCATATAAAATAAAGTTCAATATTGTTCCTATACTGTATATTTGTATTTGTAGAGTGTAGACCACAACATATGGACTCCTGATTTAGATAAAGCTCATATAATATGTTGGATAAAAGCTTGAAAGGAAGGTATTGTCAGCCTATGATAATTGCGAATAGAATAAGTCAAATTACAAAATACAAAAATTAATTATCCTCATACCATTGACATATATTTTTGTTACGTGAATACTTCTATTGACGGTAAGATAATTTTATCAGTTACATGTATTCATGTTAAGGGCTAACTATAACTATGTGTTTATTGTTAGGTTATATTCATTACATAAATTGCGAATTGATGCATCAATCAGAGATTTTCTTACTTAATAGAAATATGATGTTGCAATGGCTATTTTGGTTAACCCATTAACCAAACCGATTAAATTTTAGTTTGGTTAATTTTATTGTAGTATTAATTTACATAGTTTGGTTACGATATTGTATTCCATTGTTAATAATTTTAGGCTTATTTAGTTTGGTAATTACCATGGTAAATTTGTAACCATTTAAACACCCCTAGTTGGTGATTCACAGTTTTGTGATCACCGACGATTTACCAAGAATATTCTTGAAGCTCGTAGACGCATATACAATTGCATTGATTAGCTTATAAAGATATTTTCGGATTGGGCCTTTGGGATTTTGGGTCCAAGGGAGTTGGCTATTTTTTCTTTTCGTTGTAGGTTTCCTGTTGAGTTGGGGAAAGGGTAGCCGAGTAGGAAAAGGGTTTCCAGTAGAGTAGGGTTACGTATTAGGTTTTCTTGGCCTATATATGTAAGTTCGCCATTATTCCGGTTTATCAAATAATAAAGTAAAGGATTATCTACACCAACGTCGTTCTCTCGTTTGTGAGTTACAAGCAAAAATCTCAAACCGAGAGCGTCGATTCATCAGTAATATCATACCCTGTGGCTTCCGCAGGATGGGAGGATCGGCGACGAACGTTGCTCGGCCTTGGAGGCCACCACTGAGATCTTGGTGGCCACTATGGACATGCTCGAGTCCACGCTCTAGGAGATGCGAAGAACTATGCGGGAACTGTCCGAACAGATGGCAAGGACCGTGGTGTCGCAGTTAGAGAAGCTCACGCTTCAGCGTGATGGGAAGGAGGTGGTATCGACCAACTGTCGGAGAAGAGAATTCTGTCGCGAAGCCCACAGGGGAGCGCAACATGACAGGAGTAAATGGGGACCTGGGCGGACAGTGAATGCGCTCGACGAGGAGACGAGTAAGGTTTGTGGCAATGGCGATGGGGGACCCAAGGACGACAATGGGGACTTTCCTTGCTAGGATGATCAGAGGGTCGCATTTGCCTCGTTCCATCTGGAAAGAGAGCGAACCAATGGTGACAGTATAGCTGAAACAAACCTATAAGGACACTGGGGAGCCAATTTCGTGGGATTTGTTCTCTTATGATTTGTGGACGCGGTTCGTGCCAACCAAAGGGGAGAGTTGCGACGAGGTGCTATTGCGGATTCGTCAATCATGATTCTCAGAGAGAGTTTGAGAAGTTTGCTAATCGTTGTGTAGGATGGACACATCAAGCGTTGTTGGGCATTCATCTTAGCGGCTTGAAGTCTGAGATCACGAATGAGATTAGGATGTTTCGACGTCAAACTCACCGTGATGTGATCAGGCTGGCCAGGATGAAGAGCGACCAACTGCAGCACCACAACCGGTCGGTAGGGCAGCAAGTCAGGCGGGTGCGTGCGCGACAAGTCTTGGCGATGGCACGTATGGGCCGAGAGCTGCCAACTCACTCCCACCATGAGGTACAAGGCCACCTCACTGGCCTCCAAGCTGGAAGTGTTTGAGTTGGGAAGAGCAACAAGTCTAGTACACGAAGGTGATGTGTTTGTTTGAGGAAGAAGACTTCGAGGGTCAACCTTGGGGACAAGGTTGATTTCAAGGGGGTAGGATTGATGAGTTTATTTTCGAATTGGGCTTTTGGAATTTGGGGTCCATGGGAGTTGGGTGTTTTTCCTTTTACTTGTAGTTTTCCTGTTCAGTTGGGGAAGGGGTAGCCGAGTAGGATAAGGGTTTCGGGTATAGTAGGGTTACGTATTAGGTTTTCTTGGCCTATATATGTAAGTTCGACATAGTCTAGTTTATCAATAATAAAGCAAGGGATTGTCAACACCAATATCGTTCTCTCGCCTGTGAGTTACATTCGAAACTCCCGAACCGAGAGCGTCGGTTCATCATTAGCCTGCTGGCTAATCTTTACTCTACCACTGATCAACTCTCAGACGATCTGAAAGTTTATACCAGACCAAATCCTTGTCGATCTAATTCACTGAATTCCCAGAGCTATCTCTATGATTGCTCACCCACTTCTCTATCCACCTACTTGTAGCAACTCACTTTTGCTATCCTCACATATTGAGCTGCTATTAAAGATGTTGGGGGTTGTTCTCTGTTGCTGGCGGTGAAGCGATTACGAGAAACTTGGACTGGTGGTGGGGTGGGGCGGGTAACTTAATACTCATGCCTTGCCCCACGCAACTGTGGTTTGGCGGGGCGGGTCGACCTATTCTTACATGTTATTTGAAAAAATTACACGCAAATTTACTTTTTACGATAAAATGAACAAGAAAACACTTTATGAATGAAAAATAGTGATAATAGAATGAGTAATTGAGTCTAGCAAGTTGAAAGATCGACTCTAACTGGATGGATAAAAATCAAAATAGGAGAAATATGTATAGATATTGTAAGAAATTGAAGTAGAATGGGCCAAGAAAGGGGCGGGGCAAGTTAGGGCGGGTCAGAAGTAGATAGTCATGCCTGCTCCACGCTACTGCGGGTCGAGTAATACTCGCACCATCGCGGGTCAGGTCGGGTAATACCCGCAAGGGCGGGTTCAAATAGTCATCATCACTTGGACTAGGGGTGGGCAACCGGTTTAGTAAATCTGAACCGAACCAAAATCGAATGAAACCAAACCGAAACTGAAATAATGTTATTCGATTCGGAATTCGGAAAGGAAATATGGATATTTCAGAAACAAGTGTTCTTTCAACCGAACCGAAATTCCGACCGAAAACCCGAATTACTATAATTGCAAGTTCCAAATGGTAGATTTTTATGTTTGTAATTGTTTTTAAACTTAAATATTTGAATTGTGTTAGTATTTTATGACTTTGTGTGTTCAAATATTTGATTTTATCATTGATGATGCATATAATTGCATATTTATTGTTTATATTAGGGGTGAAAAATAATTTAAAAGGAAGAAAATACAAGTTGCCTCACAAATTCGGTTTTGTGTGAAATTCTGAACCGGATTATAATTCGGTTTAGACCGACCGAACCGAATTATATTTTGATTCGAATTCGGTTTGAGATTTGGGAGAAATCGTGAATCGGTATTCATAATTTCGATTCGGTCAAAACCGAACCGACCGAATGCCCACCCCTAACTTGGACTCTCCAACTTTGGTGTTGGAACATGTGTACAAGAACCCAATCATTGAGACGGGTTTATTACGGTACAAGTATCATATCGGAAATACAAGACAAGACATTCTAATATATTAGTGTCGACCTAGTCCATATAGTATGAGATTTTTGGGAAGAAACTAAAGTATAAATCCTTACCGCGTTGGCCCAATGTGAAAAATATCGTACTAATGTACTATCCTATATAGCGGATAATATGGATGATACAACAACTACTTTAGCAATAAAAAGGATATTATTCTCTCCCAATATTGTCGACAGAGGGCAGGTATTGCTCCTTTCCTTAATTGTGTTTGTTTTATGAATAAATAGCTCATGTTCCTTAAGTTAAATCCTAGATTTGAATCCGGCCTGTTGGCCGAATACATTTAATCAATGATATAAAAAATCATAGTAATTTTTTATTTTCTATCATAAGAGAATCCAAATACTAAATTATTGGGAAAAAAGTCAAAAAACATGAATCACAAATTTAAACTTTTTACGATATCCTAACTGATTCATCAACTATATCAATATCAAAGTTAAAATAAATCATGCAAAGAAATCAACTCCTAAAAAATGAGTTCAAATCACACTTCGATTAGAAACTACTACAGATTTTCTTTTGGACTGCGCGATTACTTCGTCATAATTAGCATTATCATCCCCACCAATAACATTGCCTTCATCTTCATTAATAGCACCTCTATTTTCACAATCAAATATTATACTATTATTCTCTAGCATTTAAACCATCTCTTCCTTCTTCTTCTAAATTTCATTGAAAGCTAAATTTATTGGTGATCTTTTTAAAAATACAAAACACAGTTATATGCAAATAGATATTTCCCGTTTCAAGTAATGAATATTGTCTGAGATTTTCTCTTCTCGCTAATTTTTTTATACTTCTATCTCTACAAATAATCGGTGTGGTTTCAATCCTGTCGGTCGCATTCCTTCTCGGGCCGACCATTTCAAAGATACATGCATGTACAAATAGAAATTCATGGCCCTCTATTTTATATGGTAAACGAAGGTCTAACAGAATATGAAATAGTCAATCTTATGTTTGTTCCGATCGACCAATTTTGGGTGAAGGTTGACCTACTTGATCCATGCTTTACTTTTTTTTTTGTCCACTAATAGAAGAGATTTATATATTATTGAAATAGAAGAGATCGATCTATTTAATAGACTATATGTAATTTCTATTAGAGTTGAGAGTCACTGAACCAGTATAAAATTTCATTTGATTAGCATAATTTATTTCAAATAAGTATTGGAATGAAATGCTGGAACCCTAAACTACAAAATAGAAACAGGATTATCCTATAAAAAGCCAAACCTAAAATGAAAGGGAGTTGCTAAAGGTCGCCTTTAGAATTGTTAAAGGTCGCCCTAAAAAAGTTTAAAGTTACACTTATAACCCCCTATCTTCTTTACCTTCGCTTTATCAAACAAACACCACTTGGACTAAAAAAACACTATCTAAGGAGAGAAAAAAATCCATCATCGTCATTTTGAAACCGATATCGTCTGTAGGACGTCTGAATCATGAGTAGCAACTCCGACGAGGTAAATACATTAACTGAAAAACGAAAAAAAAATGGGAACCGCAAGTGACCTAGATTTAATTTGGTCTTAATCTAGAAAATTAAGATTAGATTTTGCATTACAAATTAAGATTAAATTTATTGCATAAATAATAGATTCGCATATGAAGTTATGATGATTATTAAATTTAAATAGTTATGAAATTTTAAATTTATCATATGATACTCGTTAAATTGACGATATAGAATGTTAAGTTTTTTTTTAAATTTGTGGGGTGTCACTTATAAATTCTGATAACATTGCAGGATATTGGAAGTTACAATCCGGATGCCCATGATTACACCTCGGATTTCATTGATGGCGTGAAATACACTACGGAGTTGCAAGCATATGAAGTAGCTACTGAGATTGCCAAGGATTTTGGGTTTTATTTGGTGAGGGCATCGAACAAAAAAAATAAGAATGAAGGTACTTGGCGACATTACTTACATTGCACTCATGGTAGGAAGAAGAAGTCGAAAGAACCTGATCCGAGTAAGGAAAGAAGGCCTCTTACATCTACTGAAAAGTTGGGGTGCGAGTTTCAGATCAAGCTTGAGCGGTCAGGTGATGGATATTGGTTGATCCTAGGGGTGGCGGCGGCTGCCCTACCAACTGGTCGTACAACTCGAAAACCCCAGCTACCATATCATAGAACTTACCACCGTCCTCCTCCCACTTACTCCGGTCCCTCGTCAGCAACACGGGACCTAAACGATCCACAATCTGCTCTCTCAACTGTAAATAGAAAACAATGTTAGAATAAATAACAAATGTCCTTTATATTTGGAAAAGCAAAAGAAAGTCATAATTAACCTGATGAACTAGTAGTGGTCGAGGCTGAGGCACCCCATCAGTGGGGTGGGTGATCCGTGGGTGCGATCTAGTTAGAAACCAGTCAACGTACTCCTCCACGATCTTCGATGGGTGCTCGCACGACCGAGAAGCAAAATCCAAATCTAGACGACGGGCTGCCACGTTATCCCACAACTGATTCACCCATGGATCCCAAAAGACTATGTAACTGCTGCCGGAAGCCGGACGGTACTGGTCATGTGGTACCATCATAGCACGGGGGATAATCTGTCGGTATCCAAACTGGCGCAGACAACGTGCAGGATCGTATCCCTCAGCAATGTCAGAAAAGCGAATGGGGCCAGTATATAAGGAGCGGGGTATATCTGTGTGGCCATCTCCTCCGTACGGAGTCCAGGTCACATCATCAGCTGAAAGCTCATCCAACAACTGTCGATAACGTGCTAACCTCTATCTAGCCTCATCTCCACCTGGCAAACGGGGAGAAATCCACGAGGTGCATCCGGAGACTGCGGCAGCTGACTCAGACGGAATAGAGGAAAGTACTCATATATCCAAGCCTGAAGCAGGGTCAAACAACCACAAAGACCCTTACTACCCGCTTGTGTGGCCACTCCCAACTGTCTGTAGAGATAGGCTAGTGCACCAGCTCCCCAAGCGTAATCAGTCAATCGTCGATGATCCTTCAGAAACAAGTTGATCGCAGGACGAAGGCGATCACGACTCTTATCCACAAAAAGCGTGGATCCCAGTAACACAAATAGGTAACACAACACCTCCATCTCCTTAATCTTCAACTCTCCCCCACGCACCAACAATCCCTCTGCATGCATAGCACCATTATCGTACCACTTAGACTTCCACTTACCACCAACCTGAGCATCCACCGAAAGTCGAACTAGACCACCCATGTCTGACTTAAGAGTATCCGGCGACGCCTCATCTCCCATCAACTCTCCGTCAACCGGTATCCGAAGAATGTGATGCACATCATGTAGAAGGATCGAAATCTCTCCAAACGGCATGTAGAAGGTGTTTGTGTCCGGCTGCCACCTCTCCACAAATGCCGACAGTAGAGCCATGTCTAAATGCTGCATCATGCACCCTGTCAAGTGAGACAATCCTGTGGCTTCAACCATCTCCTTGGAACCCTCTGCACTCCACTTATATCGCCTCAAAGTCTCTATAGCTTTCGGCCTATGGAAGCCGTCCAACACTCCATGGTCCTGCTCAGGGGAATTCTACAGTACAAAGCCAATGTGACCTCCAAAGCTAGGGATCACATCGGGAATCACTGGTCCACCTGAACACATCGCAGACTCGGCTGTAAGAAACCACGACATATCTTTCCTCGTGGTCTTCCTCTTCCTATTTCCATCTCCGCCATCCTCGCTACTAGGTCAGGACGCATAGCGTCCATCGGGGCTACGGAAGTGGGAGGAGGCAGTAGAAGATATCCCGACCCGCGCCGTCTTCCCCACGCCTAAATCAGCTTGAGGTGGGGCATCCCCATCCTCACCATCACCAGCACGATCACCAGCAGCATCACCAGCACGATCACCAGCATCATCACCAGCAGCATCACCAGCATCTGGGGCATTCCCAACCTCAGCATCACCGTCATCATCATCATCCTCGTCAATGGAATCACTCCAATTAGCCTGCCATACCGGTGCGCTCTCTGGTGTAGGAGTACTGGTAGTACCTCGACTAAGAGACAACTGCCCCACAGTAGGGTGGCTGTCAGGACGCACTACATCCGCCTTCTTCTTCCTTCTAACCTTAGGTGGATTTTTTTCTTCATTTTCCTTCCTACCAGTCGCCGTAAGTCTACAAGCACGACCTTCCATTCTCTCCTTATTTCTCGCCTTAATCATATCCGGTTTACCCATTCCATGTCCAGACATCTTAAAAAAAATTTTGAATTATTAATAATGGATTATTAACAATAGAGTACATAAATTAATTAATTTAAGATTTCCATAATTAAATTATAAAATTAATAGTTTGAACATTTATGTTACGTTCTATGTAATCATTATTTACATAAAAGTAAATAATTAATCAAGGTAAAATTATTAATAATTAAGTAGATAAACGAATTACTTTGAAATTTTGATTATTAAAATGATAAAAATACATTTTTAATTTTTTATAATGTTCTTTAAATTTGTTATCATTAATTAACATTTATCGAAAACGTTTTTTAAATTTTTATATCATATAAATAAATTATAACTAAATTAACATTTATCGAATACGTTATCATTAATTATATTTTTTATTAAGTATATTTTTTAATTTTTTTATTATTAATAACATTTATTTAAACACAGAATATTAAAAAACAGAATTAAAAAAAAAAACGAGTCGACCGCGGTCAACGCGCGTTGACCGCGGTTGACTGTCGGTCTAACCGCGGTTTGACTGCGGTCGGCCTTTTTTTTTACCTTCTTCTTCTTCTCCGACGAGCGAGCGCGCGACAGGTAAAGGGCGGACCAGCGCGCGACCTTCTTCTCCGGCGGCGAGCGCGACTTCTTCTTCTCGTCTGCGCGTCGGTGGACCAGGAGGCAGAGCACCGGCGGCGGGACAGCAGAGGGGCAGAGGGGGAGGGGGACCAGGAGGCAGAGCACCGGCGGCGGGATTTCTTCTCGTCTGCGCGTCGGTGGACCAGGAGGCAGAGCACCGGCGGCGGGATTTCTTCTCGTCTGCGCGTCGGTGGACCAGGAGGCTGGCGGCGGGACAGCAGAGGGGCAGAGGGGGAGGGGGACCAGGAGGCAGAGCACCGGCGGCGGGAGGAGTTTGCCGACGGAAACGGTGGAGAGGGTGAAAGGTTTAGTTGTGGATTCGTTGTTGCCGAGGGAAAGGTAAAGGGCTGTTTGGTTCTCTTATTTTTTCAATTTTCATTAATGGTATATAGGTAATATGACATTTAAGTTAGGGCGACGTATAGCAATTATTAGGGCGACATTTAGCGATTCAGAAATGAAATTACTACTCCCTTGCTGGAATAGAAAAGAAGAGGTGTAAAAGCAAAATAAAAAAAAAAGGTAAAAAGACATATGTATCCTGCCATGAGATGCGTTCAGGGTTACAATTTGTGTTTTAACCCCCTTCTCACGTGGAATCCTCTTATATGAGCATGTAGATGTAGATAGATGTAGATTAGTCAAATTTTTATAATAAAAAAAATATAAGTCACTTGCAATTAAAAATCGATCGTACTCAATTTAAATACTTTAATCCTAAGTTTGGCATATGACAACTCTCCAATAGCTTAATTATCATGACACTACAGGGCTAAGACAAATCATGTCATAAAATAAGCTCTTTCCAACTATTAAATTTTTTATTTTGATAAACTATGCACTGTCCAGCTATGAATTACCATATACAAATGATATGCTTTAGTTCATGACAGGCAGATCAATTATCTTTGCATATGAAATTGAGGGTAGTTAACGATGGGCCACGGCTGCGCATAGACAATGGAAAAAAGACATGAAAATTCTTCGCAAATGAAACCGAAACCATTGCGAACTTTACTTGAAAAGTCTCCTTAGTTTCGTGGGCTTTAATCTTTCAAATGGATAATATTAGCCTCGCCTTAGTTACTGGTGCCCAAGCTAGCAATGTTATCGAATAGGGCGAATAGTGGCTACTTATTACCTACTCAAAAAAATTTAGTTTGAACTATATATTATACTCACACGAGTAGAATATCATACTTACACTCATACTTAGTGATGACAATTTTTTATCTGAACTTCACGATCTGATATGTCTCGTATCTGTCCCGTAGTACGTGGGAAGGACATTGGTATTGCTTCTAACCTGTCCCCGTCATGGTCCATGAAATTGTACCGTACCGACGGTTCAACCACGATATACCAGTATCGGAGGCTAAATCGGTAGGCGGTATTTAACGGTCTAACGATTGAACTATGGTTAAATCACGGTTTTATCATAAAATATCATACCGCTGACTTTTTCGGTACGATATCCGGTACGGTTTCATGGACCATGGTCCCCACCCATCCCGTCCAATTCTCGACCCACTCTATCATGATTTGCATTAATGTTTATTTGTATTCTCCTCTTTGGACATTTTAAAGCCATATTTTTCATCCCAATAAAATTTTAAGACTTTATCTTTCAACTATTTAGACTTAATTATTCATTCTTCTACTATATTTCTCATCATTTATTAAGTGCTTTCGCTATGTGCTCATGTAAAAAAGTTCAATAATATCGACGTTCATTTTTCAAATAACATATATGAGTAGGTCGGGCCACCTCGCCCCGTACCCGTGTGGGTATTACCCTGACTCGCGCTTAGTGCGGGGCGAATATGGGTATTGAGGTATCTACCCTTCCCCGCCCCATTGCCAACGCTACTCATACATGAGCAGGTATCGGGTATCCAAAGTAATTCGTGAATAATCATTTCAATTTATAACTACAAGTCTACAACCACCATAATTATAACAATCACTCTTGTACAGACATTACATAAGTGAAAATATACAATAATAAATTACTATGACGAAGAAAATTAGTTAAAACAACACAATTTCATGATTATATTATACGTGTATGATAAATATCAAATATGTTAAGAAAAACAATAGTCAATTCTAAACAAAATACATATGCATATGTAAAATCGGGCGAGTTCATCTTAAATATTGAGCAAACCATATCCATCCAATACCCATAATATTCGGATTTCAGCTAGCCTACCCAATTAGTTCAAATTCGGATAAATATTCACCAACATAGTTATTTTTGTAATCCCTATCAAGCTAAAATTTCTCCGTGAAAATGGCCCACAGATCTACCACACCCGCATTGTACTCATATATGTTGAAATACATATTAATTATTACATGAAGTCTTTTAACGAATATTAAAAGCGACTACAACTTTTAACTGATCCGAAGCAATTAATTAATGCCCCATATGAGCTAAATTTAGAGTAACACCTTAGTGAAATGCACATGCTTGTCTCATGGTGCAATGCATGTGCTGCGCTCTCCAACCGTGACCCTAGTCTTTGGCAACCACATGGCTACTTATATAATCATGGCCGCAGTAGGTAAAACAAGTTGGAGAACAAACAATTAGACGAAGACTTTTACAGTTCAATATGACCAAAATGCTTGCAACTTTATCAACCACCCACTTACATATTAGTTTCATCTGCAATTTGCAAACTAAATTCACGCTTAATTATTGATTACTTATCGTATTACAACATCTCAAAAGTCCCTCTAAAACCAGTACAAATAGAGTCTCTATAGCTAAATCCTCCAATATCCCATCCCAAAGATTAGTCACAGAAACTACAAGCCAAAATGCCTCCTTATCTTTACAATTCCCCTCCGCCGCCTCCTTCCAACAAATATATCCCTCCTCCAGCGGCGCCACCGCCACCGGAAACTCCTCCCCGTCGTCGTCGCCACCGCCGCCACCATCCGAAGACGCCACCGTCACATTGTAACCCTAAGTCTGGTCTACCGTGTCCTCCAAGTAACAGCAAGCCCGCTCCACCACTGCCCTCTCCCCACCCGCCGGCGAGTGCTCCAAAACCGCCACCATCATGGTGGGGCCCACCGGGCCACAGCCCAAGCCCAACTCAGCAAGGCCCAACTTCATCACCGAAACCCCACAAGCCCAACCCTAGAGGCCCAATCCCTGCGCCCGCACCAGTACCTTCCGGCGGTGGCGGCGGTGCAACTCCACCATCCGGGGGCAAGCCTCCGTCCCCATCAAAGGCGGCGGCGCCACCAGGGGCCTCCACTCCTAGGGGCCCAATCCCTGCACCGGCACCAGTACCCTCCGGCGGCGGCGGCGGTGCAACTCCACCGTCCGGCGCCAAGCCACCGTCCCCCTCAAAGGCGGCGGCGCCACCTGGGGCCAGCACTCCTAGAGGCCCAATTCCCGCACCTGCACCAGTACCTTCCGGCGGCGGCGGCGGCGGTGCAACTCCACCGTCCGGCGCCAAGCCTCCGTCCCCTTCAAAGGCGTCTCCACCTAAACCGAGCGTCGGCGGCTCCCCACCGGTGCTCCCGCCGTCCTATAGCAACGCGCCACCTGGACGCGTTCCGCCAGCTGGCTCCGTGCCCCCGTCTTCAAACGAGGTGACGGTCCCTCCACGTGGCGGCGGCGGCGGAGGTGGTGGAAACAACCACACGACGGTGATTGCGGTCTGCGTGTCGCTTGGAGGTGCGTTTTTCGTGGCGTTCCTGCTGGTTGGGTTGGTGTGCTTGGCTAAGAAGAGGAAGAAGAAGGTTCTGGTTCCGGTGGTTGCTGCTCATCCGCATGGTCACGGCGGCGGTGGCGGCCACGTGGGGGCGGCGGCTGCTGCTCCGCATGCCCACGGTGGACCAGCTCCTTGTTAATATGCTAATTGCTAAAGGCTAAAGCCATGTGTATTGTTTTTTAATTTTTATTTTTCATAACTCCACGTTTACTATAATCGCCAACTTGGTGGTGTCAATGTTTTTTTTTTGTTCGTGATTAATGTCAATGTTTTTTAGTCAAATAAAAATTTGTGTTTTAGTGACCAATTATATTATTTAAATGATGAGTCCATAATCGTGCTTACGAGCTGTGAAGTTCATTAATCAACGAGCCGAACGGCGTCTGAATTTCATGTTTTTATGGATAAATAAATGGATTGGTGCATTATATATTTACATGTGGGCACATGGATTTAAAAATAAAATCGAACGACGTCGTTATGACAATGAGATGAATTTTCATTATATTTCGACAAAAAAATTACATATCACTCCTTATCACTTTGGTATCATCTTTGTTTTAATTTAAATTTTGAAATTTTTACACAAAAGGAACGAGTTAATCGTGAACTATTAGATCTAAAAATTTATTGGTAAAAATATAGAACCAAAAAATACCACCTCATATCACATTGGTATAGCAGTAGTGGTACTTGTTGTGGTAAACACTGATGAATGTGGTAAATGACAGTTCATATATTCATGTTATCATGTATTCAATTATCTTACACTATCATATGTTCATACCACCATGTGATAGGGGAAAGTTTAAAGGTCTTTCATAAATGGTGATACATGACATGTTATGCGTGTTTATTGATCATAAGATTACTGACTTTAACTAGGGGTGAATAAAAATATCCGCAAACTTACCCGTCCACCCAACTCACTCGTATCACTAATATTAAGGTTTAAGGCCGTATGAGGATTTTATTTTGTACAACCAACCTCTTTTGGGTCAGGTGTTGATTTTGGATTACGCAACCCGTAAAACACGATCCAACCGGTGTTCCAACTATTGTCATAAGTGTTCATATCCAAAACATATTTGTGTCGTATATAAGCATGCTTGTGAGACAATTAAGATATTTTATCATATTTTTCTCTTGTAGACTCCCTAACCTAATTCATTCTTCGACTTAAAATTTAAACGGGTTCAATATAGGTTATGTTTGACGTAATATTTTTGTTACAATTTTAGAAGAATAACATACTATGGATATGTTCGCTTATAGCATATCTACCTTCTTTCGACAAATTAATGTTCGTGGAATAAAGTAGATAAATGTTGAAGCAAATTGCATTTCTTCAAAATCGTTTTGAATTTTGATACTTTTCACCTCGGTTTATTTGTCTGAAATTTTAATTAGTTGTATTATACTGTTATGGTGTTAGAAAAAGTACTTACGTTTTCTCACACAAAAACAAGAGAGAGAATCTACTGTTTTCCTCACCGTCCCTCGTCGTCGGACTGCTTTGCCGCCACAAAATCTGCCAATGAACTCCCTCTCCATTGTCGCCCTTTTTCTTCGCCATTCATTGTTTTAACATCGAAACCCATATCCAAGCATCGATGAATGGAATTGCATAGTCGCTTTCAGGTAATTCCGCGTTCCCTCTCCGCCAGTTGTTCCCAAGTACTTTTTTTGTTTACATAATAAATCAAGGAGGAGGAATACAGTGAAGATTTTAGTGTTCGAGAGTCGGAAAGCTTGTATAAGAGATTGATTCGGCAGCAAAGGAGTTCGTCGGAATTTTTTTGTTGATTTTCATAGTCCGACGGTCGACGGAGAGGGAGGGTGAGGCTTGAGGAAGATGACGAGATTTTTTTTACGTCTTTTTTTTATGGAAAAAAAGTCATTACTTAAAGTAATTCGAAAAGCTGCTTACGGTTTAAAAAAAAAGTGTTTATGATAAATAGAAAATTAAAAACAATAAATAATTCATTTAATTCGGTGGTTGGCTCGTTCATTAGGAATGGATTTTGGGCTGATTTTACAAAAATCAGCAATGGAATATTAGCCCCAATTTAATTTTTTGGCCCGTCAACTTCTTTATTTATATTTCTTACCGTTGTTCCCCCAAAGCCCATTAAGTCTTCCACATATCCATCTAACGTTACAGTTACACACCATCTTCTAACGTTAAGACAGCGTCAGACTCAGACAGCTAACTGCTAGAGGAATGGCCAATGGGCAGGTACGGGGCGGGTATCACCATACCCATACCCATCTCGTGGCAGATCGGATGTACAATTCAGTGACCTTAGTGGTACCCGACGCCCTATTCTAACTTTAGTGGTATAGCTTCCCCAATTCTCATACTTTAGTGACATCCAAGGTAATTTACCCACTTATTGAATTTGAGGCGATCCCTCCAGAGCAGATATAAAGAAAAAGAAAGCCAAGCTAGTGAAGTGAAACAAAATCGTATGTAATTCATCTGTGGAAAACAGATGTAAACTTGATTGATTGATTAATTTTCATATCGCATGCCATTCGGATTCATAGCTGCGTGCTTTAGAAGTGAATCGCTTTGAAATCATACAAAGGATAATTTACTTGTTACTAATATAGTTTAATCAAGAGAGTGTCGATCTCATCTTGTCCATCCCTCTCCCTCTTTCTTATTTGACTGATCGTTTGATATGGCATTACTCTTCCTCTGGTCTTTATACTGTTACGATAGGTTATCATCTTTTGTCTGCTGAGTACAACCTTCAGCAGCCTCCGGTGGTGCTACCTTTTGACACCCGTTTTTGGAAGCTTCTTTGGAGCATTCCTGTGCCTCCAAAGCTAAAGTTCTTTTTCTGGAGAGCTGTCCGCGGATTCTTGCCCTTGCAGATAGTGTTGTTTACTAAAACTCTTGTGTCTGACACGATCTGTCCTATATGCTCTGGGGAACCAGAATCCTTTTCCCATTTTTTCTTTAACTGTAGGATAGCGAGAGGACTGTGGAGGTTGGCGGGGCTTGAAGGCTTGAGCATTAGTCTTGGTGGAATGATTTCTGATGAGGACTGGCAACATCTTTTCTTTTCTATGAATCTTTCGAAAATTGAGATAGCTAATATTGTTTTCATCCTCTGGAGGATTTGGAAGGGGAGATGTTGGGCGGTTCATGAAGGCATTCAATGCCTCCCATTGGCTTTGTTTCGACAGTATCAACGACAAGTGAATGAGTGGAGGACAGTTGGGCAAAATCCTACGATTCAGCCTCCCGTTGGTAATGATTCTTCTGCTACTGCCCCTTCACATGTTACTAGAGCCACACCCACGACTTCAGGTTTCTCGGCTGTAATCAACGTCTGGTTTGATGGTGCTACCAAGCGTGGTCAATGAGGTAGTATTGGTTTTGTCGGCTTTCATGCAACAGGTAATGTTCTGTTTTCCTTTGAAAATTTTTATGATGGGATCCATGATCCATTTATCAAGGAATGTTTAGCTCTACGTGATGCCTTACAGTGGTGTCTAACTCATTCCTTTATTGCTGTTCATTTTCATGGGGACTCTCAACTCTTGATACGCCGGATGATTGGAGGTGATATGTTTCATGTTCGGGGTGACGCTATTTTGGAGGACGCTGGGAGCTTGACGTCTTCTTTCAACAGTGTTTGTTACTGTTTTCTTTCTCATCAACTCAATAGGGCTGCCCATCATGTGGCACAAAATGCCCTCTCATCGGGAGTTGGACTATTGGTCGACTCTCGCGCTTTTCTTGCTACCCGTTTGTGACTCTCGTTTATTCATCTGACTTTGCGGGCGGGGGGGGGGGGGGGGGGGGGGGGGGAATAGTTTAGTCCCTCTTATTCTTTAGATCTCTTGTTTCACTCCGATATAGTATCATAAATTGGGTCGATATAGAGGAAATGACTACATTTCCATACTATTAAATACACTAAACAAAAGTATTCAAGATAAAAATCGATAAAACTAAGTAAATTAAGTATATGTTAGCAAGGAATCAACCACATCGCTTATTCTATTTTACTGGAATTTACGGAGTCTGTTAATGCTAGGGGTGTTCAAACGGTTTGGTTACCATGGTAACCATTTTAACCGGTACTATTTGGATAATTTGGTTTGGTTAATTTGGATAATTGGTTTGGTTTGGTTAAAGTTTTTAGCTTGTTTGGTTTAGGTGGTTTTGTTTGGTTTCAGACACTCCTAACCAGTCAAACCAAATTAACCAGTTAAGTAATTAGTCATATATCTAACATATATTATATACACATACTTAATACTTTGCATAACCACTCAAGAGTCAACGTTCATCTTTTTAAACTCATAAAATATAAAGCTCAATATTGCTCATATAGTGCATATTTGTATATGTATGTAGACCACAAAATATGGACGCCTAATTTAGATAAATTTCATACATTATGATGGATGAAAACTTGAAAGGAAGGTTATTTCCAGCATATGATAATTGCTAAGAGACTAAGTCAATTTACACAAACGCAACAATTCATTAACCCATACCATTGTCATAAATTTTTGTTAGGTGAATACTTCTATACTAATCGTAAGATAATTGTCTTAGTTGCATGTATTTTTGTTAAGGGTCAACTATAACTACGTGTTGATTGTTATGTTTTATTCATTATATAAATTGCGAATTGTTGCATTAACCGGAAAATTTTCATCGTCAATGATAATGTGATTTTATATTGGTTAATCTGGTTAACCAATTAAGCAAACCGATTAAACTTTAGTTTGGTTAATTTGGTTGTTGTATTAGTTTGGACGGTTTGGTTATGATATTGTATTCCATGGTTAATGAAATTTAGCCTTATTTGGTTTGGTTATAACCATGGTAACCATTTGAACATCCCTAGTTAATGCACGACATGATTAGGTTTGATCATAGAAAAAATTATCTTCAAACAAACCAGCCGATCCTCTAGATGAGGCTTACATAGTGGCTGGAACAAAGACACATTTGATTGTAAACTGAAATGTGGCGAATAAAGTAATATATCTGCATAGCCAAAATCAAATGAGATTCAGATAGTTCCTGAACATCATGCAAAATCCAAGAAGCAAAAACAAGGTCGGTAATAAAATATCATGTCGACCTACCGGCAGCTCATGCCCTCGACTAGCAAGAAAGCCAATATACTTATTATCCTCCCTATAAATATGAGAAAAAGATATGCATCACACTCCTGATCTAGAAGGAACAAGCAACGTCGGATGACTACTGAGTAGTGGTGATCATATATCACCACCCCTTTGCTACAGAAGCCTAACTGCACATCTGGAATCTTGTTGGACCTGGACTATTCGGTATCCCAAATCAGTGGCGGATACATGCATGGTTAGGGGTGTCCCGGGACACCCCTAAAATTTGGAAACACGATTATTCAACCTACGATAGTAATTTTCGTATGAGAAAAAAAATGTTCAAGTGGTAGTGGGACACCTTTAAAATTTGGAAAAATGATTATCCAATATACCGTAGTAGTTTGCGTATTTGTACAAACAATATATAAGTAGTAGTTTATGTGATTTAAACTTGGGACACTGCCATTATTAGTTAATATATTTTCAATTACGCTACAACTCATTTGTTATTGTGTTTTAGATCCAAATATAATAGTAAAATGTTATTCTTATCTCAAATTATTTTCAAAACCTAACGATTAAACTCAATTACGGGATATCCTTGTCGAGTAGGATATGTCGAGAGATATTTGTTGAGCAGTATAAACACCGAATGCATTTTATCATTTGACGAAACACATATGAACTTTTAATGAAACTTTTTATAGTTAGATATTTTCAAATTTAATAATTATTTAGTTTAATTATAATATTTAATTTAATTTAATTTTTTATAGAGGACACTCCAGCGTAGAATTCCTGAATCCGCCACTATCCCAAATCTCAGGTCAACTGAAGTCCTTCTACCGTGTCTTTCAACCCTGCTCAGGTGATAAGTATATCTCGAGGTTATTCAAGTTATAATCTAAGTTTTCTGTTCACATAGCATGACGACTAATGTGCTGCATTTTCTGTCCATACCCAACCAATAGTCGAGTAAAATATGAAAGCATTACCCTACTACACCTACCCAACAAATATCAAACTCATATATTTGTTGGGCATACGACTCGGATCCCGCCGCGCCAAGGAAACACCGACGCACCGACACCAGAGGAGTTGGGCGCGTTAGTGCCGATGCGACCAGAAAGGCACACCGGCGAGCGCCACTACCAAGAGAGTCGGGCGCATCAGCACCGACGCGACCAAAGAAACAGCCCGAACACCAAACGACGACGTTCGAGTCCAGCGTTGACCAAATCAGCGAGTGTGGGGAAATGACGCCGCGTCCCACCCGATGAGTGGTCACATCATAGTCCTAGTCTTAGGTATACTAAAAGACTAAATGTGAGCTATGGTCTAGTCCTCTGACATGTCAGTAGTCATGTCACCATGTAACTCACCCACCACCGTGTAGCCTATAAATAGGGCATTTACTCCGGTGGGTGAGGGGATGGGATTTTGGAAACTCTATCTCTAAACAAAGAACAAACTTCTCTCTCTAAAAGTCCCTCTCTCAACTCCATTCTTCCTTCCTTTCCTTCCTAAGTTCCAGGCTGATTCCTGTTGCTCATTCTCCTCAACCTTTTCCCGCGAATCTCACTCCTACACTCAGTTAGGTTCAAACAATTGGCGCCCAACGTGGGGCTGAGTAGAACAGCAGCAGAAATCCAACCAATGGCACACCCACGGAGAGGAAAATAACACCCTCAAAAGTCCAAGCTTAGTAGAAAGTGCCGCGCGCAGAAATCAAACAACCATCAGCCCAAAAAAATCTCCTGAGAATCAAGCAGACCTGAGTCAATCGCGCGGAAATCGAATGGCGTAGTCTTAAAAAGCTCACGAAGATCGCGCGGAAATCAAAAGACGTCAATCCTAAAACGCTCACGAAGATGACGCAGACGCGAGACAATCGCGCGGAAGTCAAACATGCGGTATTCGTGGAACACCCCCTGATGGGGGGCAATTGTTGGGCATACGACTCGGATCCCGCCGCGCCAAGGAAACACCGACGCACCGACACCAGAGGAGTTGGGCGCATTAGTGCCGACGCGACCAGAAAGGCACACCGGCGAGCGCCACTACCAAGAGAGTCGGGCGCATCAGCACCGACGCGACCGAAGAAACAGCCCGAACACCAAACGGCGATGTTCGAGTCCAGCGTTGACCAAATCAGCGAGTGTGGGAAAACGACATCGCGTCCCACCCGATGAGTGGTCACATCATAGTCCTAGTTCTAGGTATAATAAAAGACTAAATGTACTTGTCCTAGGTAGAGGTATGGTCTAGTCCTCTGACATGTCAGTAGTCATATCAACATGTAACTCACCCACTACCATGTATCCTATAAATAGGGCATTTACTCCGCTGGGTAAGGGGATGAGATTTTGGAAACTCTATCTCTAAACAAAGAACAAACTTCCCTCTCTAAAAGTCACTCTCTCAACTCCATTCTTCCTTCCTTTCCTTCCTAAGTTCCAGGCTGATTCCTGTTGCTCATTCTCCTAGACCCTTTCCCGTGAATCTCACTCCTACACTCAGTTAGGTTCAAACAATTGGCGCCCACCGTGAGGCTGAGTAGAAAAGCAGCAGAAATCCAACCAATGGCACACCCACGGAGAGGAAAAAAACACCCTCAAAAGTCCAAGCTTAGTAGAAAGCGTCGCGCGCAGAAATCAAACAACCATCAGCCCAAAAAATCTCCTGAGAATCAAGCAGACCTGAGTCAATCGCGCGGATATCGAATGGCGCCAGTCCTAAAAAGCTCACGAAGATCGCGCGGAAATCAAAAGACGTCATTCCTAAAACGCTCACGAAGCTCACGCGGACCCGAGTCAATCGCGCGGAAGTCAAACAGGCGGTATTCGCGGAACACCCCCCTGATGGGGGGCAATTGTTGGGCATACGACTCGGATCCCTCCGCGCCAAGGAAACACTGATGCACCGACACTAGAGGAGTTGAGCGCGTTAGTGCCGATGCGACCAGAAAGGCACACCGGCGAGCGCCACTACCAAGAGAGTCGGGCGCATCAGCACCGACGCGACCGAAGAAACAGCCCGAACACCAAACGACGACGTTCGAGTCCAGCGTTGACCAAATCGGCGAGTGTGGGGAAACGACGCCGCGTCCCACCCGATGAGTGGTCACATCATAGTCCTAGTCCTAGGTATACTAAAAGACTAAATGTATTTGTCCTAGGTAGAGCTATGGTCTAGTCCTCTGACATGTCAGTAGTCATGTCACCATGTAACTCACCCACCACCATGTAGCCTATAAATAGGGCATTTACTCCAGTGGGTGAGGGGATGGGATTTTGGAAACTCTATCTCTAAACAAAGAACAAACTTCTCTCTCTAAAAGTCACTCTCTCAACTTTATTCTTCCTTCCTTTCCTTCCTAAGTTCCAGGCTGATTCCTATTGCTCATTCTCCTCGACCCTTTCCCGAGAATCTCACTCCTACACTCAGTTAGGTTCAAACAATTATCAATACTCTACCCATAATCAATAAACTTACTTTGTTTAAATAAAATTATTATTTCGCAATTGTCATCCCTACCGCGGTTGCCTTCTCATCGTTGGCATTTCCAATTCCTCCATTATATGGAGAAGACAAATAAAAAATATTAATTGATTATTGAAGCTACATGTCGTATGCAATTTGGATATGATGTAAGTTGTCTGTAACTTTATATGCATGATTGCATTTGGCCTTGTGCAAGTTTATATTATTAGGTGATTGATACGGTTAAAACTAAACAAATTTCGATTTGGTATTAAAAAAAAATTAACCACACTGCGTACAATAGAAACTTTATCTTATTTTGGCAACCTGTAAATTGGCCTTCTCCTATATAACAGAGAAATATTAGGGTGAAGACTTCTCCATTTTAGTACGTACCATCGGGGCAGGTAATTAACGGACTTCATTTTCAGTACCCGTTTAATTAATTGCAGTGATGGCTACGGATCTAATTGTATATAACTAGAGGAGTACACGGACCTCTTACTCTTACATGGAGACTATTTTTTATATATAGGTATCAATCAAAATTGTTTAGTTTTTCCAACATAGATAACAACTGAATTAATTAAATTTTTCCTGCTTACATTTTCTTTTGTATATTTTTCTTTTTTATTTTGTACAATTTTTTCTTCTTTTTTTTTCAATATTTCGATTTTGCATACTTTAAATCTTGACAAACGTACCATTTAATTATAAACACCGTTACGTACCTCCGGGAACACTTTACCGTTAGGCTATCTTACCTACGATCTTTTAAAGTTTAGTTTTACTTAGTCTTATGTTGATTCATCTGTATTCAGCCTACGTTCAAGAGGAAATGTTTTATTTCTTGTGATTTATGTTGATGATATGATATTGGCCAATGATAGCTTGGATAGGATTAGATATGTTAAAGGATATGGCTTTATGGAGAATTCAAAGTGATGGATCTAGGTGAATTGAAGTATTTCCTGAGACTGAGATACACAGAAGTGAGGATGGAATCTCTCTTAACTAGAGGAAGTTATTATCTTTGGAAATGCTAGCCAATGCAAGTTTTCTCAATAAACTAACTTAATGTATTTGAATGTTGATTCAAGAAACATAAAACAAAGTGGGTTGAGGTGCCGTTGAATTCGAGATCATAAGCTATTATGCAAACAAAGAAGTGAACAAAGAGCAATGCAAGGGATGCAAACGGGTAAAGCAAGTAAAAAGATTACTTAGATAGTGTTCTCTGGATGATCATGCATACTAACTCATCAATGAGATACTTCTATGCATCATCTATTATGATGCCCTATTCCTTCCTCTAAGACCACTCTCTACATGTGCATGCGCCTCTTGCGATAGAGATTTGACTAGCCAATGCATGCTTTCGCTTCATGCATCACATAATCAATGAAAAGCAAGGAAGTTAGGATAACACATGATTAAGAGTGGCCCTATACGAGCCAAAATCGATGGTCTATATCATCGAGGATCTATATTATCAAGCATCATCTAAAGATGGTGCCTACTATACGAGATTAGTTTCCTTGTCTCCCATAATAGTAGTATAAACAATAGTATAGAAGCATATAAAAGAATTCACACACATAGATTCACTAAAGCATTGAATGAACGAACAATATATGATACAATCATAAATCAACTCAAGCATCGATGGTAAAGACAATGAATCACAATAGGCATCATCATTGGATCATCGAACGTAATACATGAAGCATCTTAGAGTCACTTCCCTAAACAATTTTAAGCTAGATATTTATAGGAGAATAGGAAGACATCACCAATGATACATGCTTGATGGTGAAGACTTCTCATCGAACTCCAGTACGGCTTCTCCTCCTTTCTATGGATCTATAACTCGAACCCCTAGACAGAGTGCTGGCAAAAGGCGTATCTAGAAGTTCTAGTCTAGCTTCCTATTTATACTAGTTACATGAGGGGGTTTTCTAGTCTTTTTCCTCCTAAATTTGGCCAAATCCTTCATTTTACAACTTGAATTCAGATTTCTTCGACTTGGGAACGAAGTAACTTCTTCAGGATGCTTCCTCAAGGATTTGGCTTTGAGTGGCAGGGGTGCGGCAATTGGTGTTGACGCCACCTCTTCCACAAAGTTGGGCGTGTTTCGGCTTATGTAGCTTTGGTTGAACCTCGGTCATTGTTGGGTTTGCTTCACTATCTGATCTGCTTATTTTGGAAATAAAGTGAGCATCTGATGTCCAAATTCATATGCCCACGAGCTTGTATTCTTGTCCTCCTTATGATCCATTAGATCCTTTGGTTATCCATAGTTGTCTTGAGTGTATGATCTCCTTAAAAAGCACAAAACAACACCAAAAGCATAAGATAGTAATAAAAACACATTCAAAGTCTATCATAAGCTCATAAATTAAATAGTTATGAATTACATATGATATATAATCAAGATCACATGATATCTGAGATTCCACTGTTTTTCTTGTTTCATTTTTGGACAGATATCATGATATTGGTGCACCATGTAATTCTAGAATTCGTGTGACCATGGTATCTCAAATGCTTTGGGTGTACCCAAAGTATTTGAGATTTCATGCCAAATTATGTGGGTTCTACCATAAACTCATGTAAGCCAAACAATGCATTCTAATATTACACAAGTTCTCACAACTCAACCTACAATATACATGAATTCTTCAAATACATGAATTCTGCATTACGTGCTTACCAAACGACCCCTAAAGATGCATTGATAAAAGGGAAAATATATTAAATACGAGAGTGATAAACACTATAAATAGAGTGTCATCAAGTGAAGGTGGTGCAGGAAGTGCTGCACTCTTTGAGGAAAAAGCGGGGAAAGAAGGGAGGCATGGTGTTGAAGGTGGATCTCGAGAAGGCTTATGACAGGCTTCGTTGGGATTTTTTGAGAGATACGTTGATTGAAGTAGGGCTGCCGAGTTCGTGGGTCCGGGGGATCATGTACTGTGTTGAGCACAATAAGATGCGGATTCTGTGGAATGGGGAGCTCACACCAGTCATCACTCCCACTCGGGGTGTCCGCCAGGGAGACCCTCTTTCTCCTTATCTTTTTGTCCTATGCATGGAATGCCTTTCTCATAGAATTGACCAGGCCATCCGGGGGAAGCAATGGAAGCCCATCCGCCTATCCCCGAGGGGTCCTGCCTTATCTCATCTTTTTTTTGCAGATGATCTGGTGCTCTTTGCAGAGGCGGAAGGAAACCAGATAGGAGTCATAAAGGATTGCTTGGATGAGTTCTGCGCCAGCTCAGGGCAACGGGTCAGCTATGCCAAGTCAGTTTTGTATGTGTCACCGAACATCAGACAAGACAGAGCTCGTCGGCTAAGTGACAGGATAGCCATCCCGCTGGTTACTAACCTCGGTCGGTATCTGGGCATTGAGGCTATCCACGGGCGAGTTACCAAGAGCCGGTACCAGGCCTTGATTCTGAAGATTCAAAAGAAGCTGGCACCTTGGAAAGCTAGGAGGCTCTCCCTTGCCGCGAGACTTACGGTCACTAGTTCTGTTTCTCTTGCTATTCCCACCTACTCTATGCAATCTGAGTTAATCCCTAAGAATGTTTGCAATGCTATAGATAAAATTAACAGGGATTTTATCTGGGGGAAGGAGGAGGACAAGGGGAAGATGCATTTGGTGTCTTGGGAGAAGATGACAGAACCTAGGGTGCAGGGGGGTGGAGGTCTTAGACCCCTCAGGCAGGCGAACCTCGCTTTACTGGCTAAAGGAGGGTGGCGCATTCTGAAAGAAAAGGATTCTCTGTGGACTCAGATTTTTAGTGCTAAGTATGGGAAGCAGAGAGAGGGCCTCGACATGTTCCGACCCATTCAGGGAAGTTCTTTTGCCTGGAGAAGCTTTACCAAAGCTTCCCACCTTCTCAAGAAAGGTTGTGCGTGGAACATCCAGAATGGGAGAAGCACTAATTTTTGGTGTGATGTGTGGGTTTTGCAGGTGCCTTTAAAGGATATGGCCAGGCAGCCCGTTCCGGAAGAGAGACTGAAGGACACTGTTGCTAGCTATCTAGATGACAATGGCGAGTGGGACGTGAGTCGCTTTTCTCAGTGGCTGTCCGTTGACGTTCAACAGAAAATCATGGCAGTAGCGGTGAATGGCTCCTCCATGGATCAAGATACTCTCTTCTGGGATCCTTCCCCGAATGGCCATTTACTGCTAAGTCGGCCTTCAAGATCGCCATGCCTCAGCAAGGGAATCAAGACGAGAATATGTGGAAGAAGATCTGGAGTAACCCGGTGCCCGAGAGAGTGCGGTGCTTTAGCTGGTTGGTAGCCCTGAACAGGATTGCAACTAACAGCCTTCTCTGTTCCAGGAAGTGTGCCCAATCACCGATGTGTTCCCGGTGTAGTAGCTGCCCGGAAACAACGCTCCACCTGTTGAGAGATTGCCCGCCGGCGATGTTTGTTTGGAACAGGTGCATTCCCCCCACCGAGCAACCTGGGTTCTTCTCAAGCACCCAAGAGGATTGGCTGCGCCGGAACTTCCTCAATGACAGAGCGATGGCGAATGGTATGCCGTGGAGTGCTTTCTTCAGTATAACCATATGGCTATTGTGGAAAAACAGGTGCACGACGGTTTTCCAAGGAGCACAAAAGGCTCTGACTGCCCCATCGCTCTTGCACTCTATCCAGCTGAAGTCGGACCTGTGGTACAAGGCGTAGTGCTCTCCTATCTTGGGGCCTAGTAGCCGGGGGTCAGGGAGGGATTGAGTGACAGCTAGCATCCATTGGAATGCTCCTCAGCCGGGGTGGGTGGAGCTGAACATAGATGGCGCTTCGGCAGGTAATCCGGGGCTTGCTGGTGCAGGTGGGCTGATTCGTGATGCTCAGGGGCGGTGGGTAACAGGCTTTGTGGCAAAGATCGGGGAAGCTACTGCGGCTCTGGCGGAGCTATGGGCTTTCTACCATGGGCTTACTCTCGCCTGGAAGTGTGGTTGTGGTAATCTTGTGATTGAGACGGACTCTCAGCTGGCGATTCTTCTCATTAATAATCGTCACGATCCAGTGCACCCGTATGCTGCTTTGTTAGCGTCTATTCGGAGGAAGATAGCTCAGGACTGGTTGGTTAGTATAGTGCATACATACCGAGAGGGGAATAGAGCCGCGGACTGGCTCTCGAAGCACAGTCTCGTCTATCCCTACGGTATGCATGAGCTGACTAACCCGCCTAGTGACTTAGCGCGGATCTTACAGGATGATAGTATGGGAGTGTCTTTTGACCGCCAAATTGTGGCGCCCTCCTCCTCTTAGCCTTTTGTCTCCTCCCTCCTTGTCTTTCTCTTTTCTTGGCTTTGGCCTCCCGTAATGCAAAAAAAAAAGTGAGCATTCAATACAATACGTGCCATATTCAAAGGGGGAGATTAGTTGTCGAGTAACAACTGTTTACACCAAAATAATTTTCATTAATTATTGCTTGTGTGAACAGCTTGACCAATTTAAGTAGTTGGTCCATGTGTACATGAATGGTCCAATTTATCAAGTCAGGCCATAGGAATAATGGATGGTAGTGTCCAAATACATGGATACCATCCAAAATCCATAATGGATGGTAGTGTCCAAATACATGGATACCATCCAAAATCCATAATGGATGGTAGTGTCCAATGTAATGGATACCGTCCAAACCCTAATGGATGATGCTAGGGTATGGTGACCATTTAATATGCGTACCATCCATGGACTGTTGTCTTGGTCAACATGGATACCATCCAATTTGTTTTGTGTACGGTGACCGTCCAATGGTCAAGTGACATGATGACGTGTCGAGGTGGTTACCAGAAGCAGCACTTGACTTGCAAAGAACGCTCGCGGAAGTTACTGGATGCTACGTGGAGCTGATTTTTGGGAAGAGAGAGAGAGAAGGCGGTTAGAGGGGGAGGCACAACAAAACTGGCAGCAAGACTCTGGACGAAAGACAGACAAATCATACCACAACAAGTCTCGCCAAAATTTATCTTTTCTCTCTAGAACAGTAACCGTAGTAGTAGCTCCAGGGACCCTCCAACGAGGCTTCCCTGTTAGTTGTAGTTAGTAGTTGCGGAGCTCTCAAGGAATCTCCATCGGAGTAGAGGTAAAAGTAGCCAGTTCCTTTGATGTATGCATCGAACACCCTCGTTCGAACAGTGTTTGAAGAGGTGTGAACCGAGTAACATCGTTTTCCGTTTTCTTGAAGTCAGGGTGCATTGATCACGCGAAATTCTACCTGAAACAACAACACGTGGTCGTGTATCATCCTATGATTAGTTGATTTGTAATTACTGTAGTTTAGTCGTTGGTACAGTGCATGTTTAGCAAGGTAGTTTTTACAGCTTTTTTACCTTTTCTTTTCACCCCTTTGTACAAACTATATAGCATCATGAGTAATTGTTCGAAAATTATTTTAATACACCCCTTCAGATAAAATTCTGGCTACGCCACTGATGGTAGCAAAGCCTCTTTGGGCTTCATACTTTTCTCTTTTACATTCTTCTTTCCTTCTACTGTAAACATTTTGAACTATTATGGGGACTAGAGAAAATGATACGCTAAGAATTTGTACAAGAACCTGTGATGAATCCATTCAATAGAGACTTTGATTAAATCTATTCAATGGGCACTTTAACTAGCTTTTATTAGACTTTTATCACCTCAAATTCCATCACCAAGGCTTTCAATTATAGAATAAAACCTACAAGTCTACACCAAATAAAAAATTTCATGATTAAAGATGTTCGAACTATTATTTATGTATATATTTATTTATTAAGTGTGAACTTAATTAATTTGGTATTCTCAAATATCAATATCGTACAGAAATATTTTTGGAATTGGGATACAAATTTATTTTAGGATAAAATTTGGGATCGATTTTTCGTATACTATTTGATATACGTGAATTCGATGTTTAATACTTTGATACTGATATCGTATCAATTTTTACAACTAAGAGGAATGACCTAGATAAGTTGGCAATGACCCGATGATAATAATGTTAAATAATAATAATAATAATAATAATAATAATAATAAGTAGTGTAAGTCCTGTCATGGGTAACTTAAGCCCTTATCAGAAAGAGCAATATAAAAATCTTCTCTCTTCCTCTTCCTCACAAGCTCACGCTAAAGAGAACCTATGCAAGCTCACAATACATAATAAATATAATCAAAACCTGTGACTTCTCACATCTATCGCTAATCACATAGTAATTG